CAATAAAAGCTGTACATGTTCTGGCTCCAGTACGACAGCAACCCAACTCAGACGCTCAATGCTAGTGTCAGTGTTTTGGCGACTTCCTAAACACTGAGCACGCTCGCTGTGTGTGACATCGTCGTGTCCTCCAATACGCATGCGGGACACTTTTGGGACGTTTAAAGTGCACACTGGAGATCACATACAAGTCGCATTTAATTGGAAATGTGAACGACCTCACAAAAAATCTGATTTCACAAAAAAATTTTAATTGCGCATTAAACCCTGCAGTCTGAACGTAGCCTTAGTTGTGAAGAGCTTATACACTAACGCTTACAATACATAAGGAAAGTGAGGAATAACTTTGGACCACTGGTAATGATTTAAACTGAACTAGTCCTGTTTTTCATGTTTTAAAACCAGTAAAAATCAGGTACAGTGCCTTTACTGTCCAGGCTAATCCTAGATGGACAGGCCAACAGGTTAATACTCACCATAAAAATGTACTGTATCACATTTACTCACCGCTTTTTTCCACCAGGAGGCAACACCGCACACCAGTCACTCAGTGATTAAGTAGATTTTCCTGACGTTAGAACCCTCATACGTTGAATAATGTAGACATTTGATGTGTCAGAGCAAATCCTCTGGGAATCTGGCTGCAAGTACTACACGTTCCAACTGCTCTCCCCTGATTTTATATAATATTTATAATCATTTTAAATACATTAATTAGTCTTGAAAATGAAAGCAAATTACAATACCACGCTATAGCCTTGAGGAAGCTTTGCATGTCTGTGGCCTGCAGCATTGAAATCTGCTGAGGCCAATCATTAGACGCTGCATAGGTGTTCAGAGAAGCACACTTAAAAGCATGTGCTGAGTGAATGTGTTTTGCATACTTCTAATAGCGTGTGCGTCAGAAAGTGCTTACCCCGTACCGGCGCTGGCCTTTCATTAGGCACACGGCTCTGCTCGTGTTGACTGACAGACTCCCACATGAAGGCCAGCCCCATTCCACATTCCCAGTCTGACCACGTGGCCCCACAAAAAGACCAAACAGAACCCTAAGCAGCACGGGTAGACGACTAGAAAGCAGATCATCACTTTCATCTATCAAAAAGAGAGAGAGAGAAAGAAATATATTTGAAGATACAAACCAGCAGTGGTGGAAGGTAGCGAAATAAATGTAGTGAAGTCCTGTGCTTAAACGTGCACTGCGTAATCAGGTTGGGGGTCCACTACCATGGAAATCAGGGGTGTAGTGGGTGTAAAATAAAAAAAAAATAAAAAACTAATATAAAATAGCTACTTGTCAAACCGGAGCTATTGGCAATGGTGAAAACAACCTGCATAGACTCATGATATCTGCAGTACTGTCCTATAATGACCTGAGACATGAGGGACCAGGACTGAACCAGGACTAAAACAGGACATCACGAATCATGTACCCCCACTTAAATAATCCCCACTACACCTTTGCCTGTAATGTTCCACAATATGGTGATAAACTATATCAGACGCATTTTTATTTATAGGTGTTTTTATTGCTCAAAAATACCTGTAAAAATATGCCTGTAAATTGTCCTAGTCGCTGCTTGTTTCTATGGAGATTGAAACGTTGGAGGTAAAGCAATAGCATTTCTATGGAGACAAGTAAAGATTATTGGCCCTTTTTGAGCCAATTTTTCACCCGTGTGACTGTTTTTGGGATCGGGGTCGTGTTCTCACTTAATCTTGTGCAAGTCATGCTTCGTGTCGTAAACATGGGGTAACGAGAATCGATTAATACCTCACAACCAGCTCCCGATCGGCAATAGTAGGTCGCAAGAATATCAGACCTGTTTGAAATCCTGTCGCCTCTTGTGACTGTTTTGCACTGCTGAAGTAGTTCGTACAGTGTGAGAACATGAATCGTGGGCTGTGAACTTATACTCCCTGCAATTTGGTCGTACAGTTTGAGCTGGGGCTGAGTGAAACGATCAAAAATATCACTCAGTGTATGTCCGGCATAACTGGCAGGCCCTCTACCAGAAAACTTACACAGTGCACATTTAAGTATACATTTTAGGTATCTGTACTTTACTTGAGTACATATTATAATGGATCCTTTTTACTTCACTACATTTGAGAGCAGGTATCTACTTTCTACTCCACTATATTTTTTTAACTGGACTTTAACTTACTGAAAAGTAAAAGTATTTCTTATTATTGTCTGAGACGTGCTGAAAAGGCTGAGGGTTTATTTTTAACACTTTTATCATTTGAGGAAACAAATATGCAAACAAAACCAGCTCAGTTGTTTCTATTGAACAAAACTCACACAAATCAGCTTCAAAATCACTGCATTTGAAGCCTCATAACACCTCAAAATCTGTGTGAAATACTTTTACTTTTTACTCCTTAAGTACATTTTTAAGGTACTTTAAGTGTAAGTGTATTTTTTTCATGTGTTAATTTACTTTTTTTGCTCCGGTATCTGTACTTTTACCTAACCCTTCCTGGCAAACATGTTTTATATAACCGTGCATAGCTTTCCAACAATAAAAGATAGAAACTTACTTCTTTTCCTTGAGAGTTTTTTCCCAGCATTATCCTATATCACACGTGTGATGATGTTGGGAAAATGAGTGTCCAATAGAAACTTCCGGCAAACACATGCGCTCCATCCATTTTCACTGGCCCAAACTTTCCCAAAGAGTGTAGCGAGTCAAGATGTTTGACTGCTCTGAGCGTCTGTGTTCATAACAATTGATAAAGCATTGTTCATGGTGCATTGTGTAACTTTTCTGGTGGAGGATCCATCACATGCTTTTCTTCATGGAAATGTTTATTGCTTTGTCTGGGATGTTTCACAGTATGGCATTAAACCTTTTTAAGTTCACGGAGACCAAACCACACGAAGTTACCAGTCAGATCTGTGGAGCGATGACCCCGCTCACAGTCAGAATGCCTGTTTTTCTGGGTATTTTTGAGCTATAAAACCACCTGTGATTGAATGAATGTAAGGTAGAGCTGTTTAAAGTTATACTGTGGAACATTCCAGGCAGAGCAATAACATATTCATATAGAAACAAGCAGGTGATGGACCCCCAACCAAAACGTTACGCACCTTCAAGCAGATTTTTTCATGTGACACTTTTACTTTTACCTGAGTTTTTTTTTTTTCTTTTTTTCTCTCTGTATCTGTACTTTTACTTAAGTAACAAAACTGAGTACTTCATCGACCAGAAATACAACCAGCCTACAAACTACTGACTCCAGGCTGCTTGGTATTCTACTGCAGAATGCCAACAGAAAGTGTAAATTCAAAAAAGAGCGAATCATCAATATTCAGGTCGGTACATTGTTAGAGCCGCTGCATTCACATAGATAATTGGCTTGCTTTGCGGATACTGTATTAAAAAGGAAGAGAAAAAAAAAGAGTTGTGCAAAGAAGGAGAGGATGCACGTGGCTAAATGCAGGGCTAGAGTTTAGAATGTTCTTATCTGAAGGTGCCCAGGCAATCAAAAGAACAGCTGAGCTTTTTTAGGAGAGTCTAAAAGGGATGGAAATTACCGTCCGGAATCTCCATGAAGTTCTTAAAATCTTACGGTTTATTTAAGGGAAAGCTGTTGGGCGTTTGGAATGGAAAGTGGGAAAGGTAAGTTTTGATAACTTGTTTCGAAGTACATGCCCTTGATCCAGAATTCATACTCCTTCATACTTTACAGATTCGGAAGTAAATGCCATCAGCGGTAAAATGAAGACTGCATATGTATGTGCTGTTTGGAATCATCTTGAATTTGGCACCCTTGTCTCGTCTAATCGCATGTACCCAGTGCGCTCGGAGCGGAGTCCTGCACGGGTCCACTTTTGGAGACCTGCACCCGCCCACACCCGCGCAGTACAGCACCGCACGTGCCCATTAACCCGTGATTATATCAAAATTAAATCTGCATCCGCCCGGACCCGTTAACATTTCACCCGTTACCTGCCCGTGCCCATGATAAAACGGGGTCAACCTATTAGTCCGACAGCCCAATAGTCCAGGACTAAAACAGGACTAAACTAGAACTGAACTAACGCTGTGTCATTAGCGGATTATAAACATATACGCAAAGCCGATCGCCAGGATTACACCAGGACTGAAACAGTGTCATTTGCATAAATATATACACGCCGTAACCGCCGAGCTGATCGCTAAGACTACAGCAAGACTGGACCAGGTCTAAACGAGGACTGAACCAGGACTTAATCAGGACTAAACCAGGCCACCGAGCCGATCGCTTCCACTAATGGTTTAATGTAATAAATACACTAAAGTCTCACTCTCAGCCTGATCTGCCATCGTTTAACTTGTTTCCGGGGCAACGGATGTTCTGGGGTCAAGTATTTTTCTCCCGTTCGTCGTTCACCTGATCCGCCTGTGTGTAATAAGTATCCACCTGCAAAATTCAGCAACTATTTGCAGGGACCTGGTGCAGGATTCTGGCTTGGAGTTGTATATCATTGGGAAAATGATGAAAACTGAGGTATGGGTGTAATTGTTGATTAGCTGAACATGATGGAACACTACATGACATTTAGAAGAAGAAAACTGGGGCTGGGAGGTTGTAATCACATCTTTCCAAACATCTTCCTGGTTTGTGACATAAGCGTGAATAAAGCCTGTTCCGAAGTACGCTTTTTATACATTTTTCCCATAGAAAAACTCAAATATTTAGAGTCCAAAAGCATGGCAAAGGCGAGCCAGCTACATGGTAACTAATATCCCTAACGTGCTTGTTTTGAGGCCAAAAACAAATTTAACACACCAGATTTGCCAAACATACGTTCATATGTTGGCCGTTTATAAAGTATAAATCAAAGAGCTTAGACTTGGACATAGACAGTTTATTTATTGATCCATAAGGGAAATCATTTGGACATAGTAGCTCACAAATCACAATATGATATAAAAACAAAGAGCAAAAATATAAATGGCAATAGTAAATTCTAAAAAAAGTAGCAAAAAAAGATAGCAAGAGACACGTGTCAAATAAAGCAAAAACTATGTACAAGTCAAAAGATAAGTAATAAAATATAACATCTGGTTCATTCGGTCTTCCGATAATTTATGTTATTAGGTTCTTTTTTTCAGAGTTTTGTTTTCATACCTGACAGTTTTGGCTGCTCCCTGCGGTCTTCCTCAGAGTGGACACGTGATGTTGCTGTGACGTGTCCGGTCAGCTGATTTATACTGGCGCTGTCTTCTTACCAGTGGAGGCAGGACGACAGCGCCATCTGCAGTTCGACTTCCTCAGGATGGTTACCCAGGCATGTGAGAGTAAAAAAGCACCCTCGTCCCGGTTTATATTTTTGCTCTTGGTCTGAAAAAAGAACCAAATAACATAGTTTAGCACAGAGCTGATTACCCCTGAACAAGCTTGTAAACTTGTAAACTTTTTTTTTTTTCTGAACATCTGTGGAATAAATGAATGACAAATGTACTTCCAGAACTGGGGAGAGTGGGCCGTCAATGTTGAGCTCCATATGGCTGCTCACGAGAACAAAAGAAGGAAAAAAAATCACAAGGGACTGAAAAACATGGCTGATTTTTACAGAATTAGAACAACGCACTAAACTCTGCTAATATGAGGTGAGATAAATATGATTTTGTTCAAACTGACCAATGAGCTAATGTAAAACTAAAGGAGATTTTCACATTGTAAATACTAAATGTATAATGTGATCAGTTTGTTCCATTGTGCTTTTGTTTACTTTTAACATTCTTTTGACTAATGCATCTCTGGGCATGTTGCTGCCAGAGACAGGGCAGATTTCCATGGTAAAGTCATTTAAAAATAAAAATAAAAAAAAGTATCGCCCACCACCCGGTTCCAGAAATTAATTTCTAATTCATTTTTCCACATAAACTTTCTTGTTCAGGGCTAATCTACATAGAAACTCATGATCACAAGACGCTCAGTGTACCATTTGTTCTTTTGAATTTCATTTAAGAATGAAAAATAATAAAATGGGAAAGCAGATTGTTATTTCATTTGCGTTTTAGTGTCAAACAATACACAGATTTCAACGTCTATATTTTATTTAAAGTTTATTTCAAATAATACCAAAAAAAAAAAAAATGTCTCAGTGCCTATTTTAATTTAGATATTTTATTAATTAAAATATTTTATGCAAGATGACTCGTTTCCCGAGACTCCTGGGAACTAACTGTGGTTGTTTTTGTTCATTTTTTGGAGCCCAATTAGGCCTTATGTACCGTACTTTTTGAACTGCTCCGGAGTATAAGTTGCACCAGGCAAAAAATTTGTAATGAAGAAGAAAAAAACATATATTAGTCACACTGGACTATAAGTAACACTTTCTGGGGAAAATTCATTTTATAAAAGTTATAGTAATAACAATAGAACAGAGAACAACAGGCTGTAAACATAATATATGAACAGTTATTCACATAATTATAGCATAAACAATTTAACACAACAAATATACCTAAATCCATTGAATTCTTTATCCTCGGTGTCAGTTCTGAGCAACTCCGTGAACTCCGGAGGTAAACATAGTGCCGCTTCCTCTTCTGTGTAGCTGTCGTCAGACTCAGCATCAGTTCCAGTTAGAATTATTCCGGCCTTTCTGAATCCCAACAGGATGGTTTTGGTGTCACTGGAGTCCAGGCTTTGTCGATCCATCCAATGAATTTCAGGAAAGTTGCATGGCGCATCCTCCCAGTGGCCTTGAAGCTGTGTTCTGCATCCCCGCCTTTTGACAGTCCCTCACATGTTTTTGCTCACTCCAAACTTTCTTTCTGCTGCTCGATTACCGTTTTAAATTTTCAGTGGTACAAAAGTAATGCTGCAATCGACTGACATGATACCAGTTATTTTAATAGATCCATGGATACCGGACATAACAGCGGTTTTCTGCAGAAGACATGCGTAGACATGCCCTTATTACTGTAGGTACGGCGGCACCATCGCCTCCATCCACGTTACTGTAAAACAACAAATAGACGCACACCATTGATTTTTTAAATTAGGCTATTTTCCCGGCTTCTCGTCATATCCTTTCCCAGGAATCAGGAAATAGTTTTGATCAGATTTCCCAGGATAAAACCCAAGTCACATGAAGGTAACTTGTCCTTTGGTAACTAGCACAGAAATGGATTCATGTTCCAAATAAAGACAGAAAAAGACCCTTGTGTCCAAAGTCATGCCCAGGAGTTCATTCTTCTTAAGTAAAAAGTCTTCCAAAATATATCCCCAATTACAAGGTTCTAGAAATTATGTGCTCTCACGCATATTATGTGACATATTTTTAATTGAACAAAAATATGTAAAACCATTTAATTAGTGCACTGTGAAACCGTGTGTGAAATGTATAAAGTCTTATTTCTTCTATCCACCGCATCTTACTAAGCATTTGTAGTACTTTTTCTCTATGCACAGCCCCGTTCCTTAATTTATTCTACCATCACACTCTCTCAGCCTCAGAAGTGTAGTGGCCGTCCTGCTTAATGGAATCTCACAGGCTCACTCTTACATGAGTAAATGAGAAATTAAGCATCACAGACAGTTGCTCATTCTGGCCTAATTAAAGTTTTAATAGCTCCATGTTGGGGACACTGTGTTATGTGAGAAACAGCCTCGTCAATTACAATCACAAGGTAAAAAAAAAATGAAACAAAAAAAAAAGTAATGGTGGAAAACAAAGATGAAAATCTAGGAAAAACCTACTTACTCCGGTTTAATGTTTTCACCTTGTTTTGGAGAATTGATTGACAAACTGAGCATTAAAGTTTCTGTACACATTTTTACATGTGTCTGAGCTGTTGTTTACATTGTGTTATAAAGCGATTTATTGTCTGTGAATCAGGAAGTGTGCAGTTAGCATGCTAGTTGTTTTAGCATTACTGGGACTCAAAGTACTACATATTTGTATTCATATATCAAATCCTTAATAATAATAAATAATATACGTAGTGATTAAGAGAGTGTACCTGTTGTTGTACTTTGTGGTGAGGACCTGAGCTGTTGCACAGACCGAGTGGATGGCGTCATTAAGTCTGCACAGGATGTCACAAGGCTCAACTGTCCTCGTAGCGGAGGCAGGAAACAGATGTTTCCTCAGAGCTGCAGAGAAACAGAAATCCACACCATGAAGACTGTAAGTTCACACTGTTGGCTTCTGGAAGACGGATCAGACCTACTGATAAATCACATTAATATATAGACAGTGTTGGGAAGGTTACTTTTAAAATGTAATCCCCTACAGATTACAGATTACACACCCCAAAATGTAGTTTGTAACGTAATCCATTAAATTACTTAAAGTGAGTAACGTAATCTGATTACTTTGGATTATTTGATATTGTCATGTTTTTTTAAACGACATGAATGTAGCAACCACATCCTGAAAATTCTTGTTTGTTGTCTTCAAATTGTCTGAGCCCAAGTCTCCATGAATAAGCAACTGTTTGCTGTAGAGAAACAAAGACCACGATATCTTAATATAAGAGGTTTTGTCTGTTAAAAGACAGTAACAAGATCAGCCTTTCCTTCACCATATTAAAACATATTATTGATAGAAAAATTATATGAGATCACCTTAAATTATGTCAACCTACTGTTAGGTGTCATGTTGTTTAGACCTGGTTTAGTCCTGGTTTAGTCGTGGTTTAGTCCTGATTTTTAGACCTGGTCTAGACCAGGTCTTTAGTTCTGGTTTAGTCGTGGTTTAGTCCTAGTTTAAACCTGGTTCACTCCTGCTTTAGTCCTGGATTAGTCTTGGTTTATTCCTGGTGTTAGTCCTGGTGTTAGTCCTGGTGTTAGTTCTGGTTTAGTCCTGGTGTTAGTCCTGGTTTAGTCCTGGTGTTAGTTCTGGTTTAGTCCTGGTGTTAGTTCTGGTTTAGTCCTGGTGTTAGTTCTGGTTTAGAGGCGCACAGGAGGAAGCGCAGTTTACGCGAGAAAACACGGTCCACACGAGACGGCGGTGTCCGCGCTGTAACTACGGAAGGAGACGTGGTCCGCGGGTTCTCAGGTTGATGACGATGATGAAGGTGTGTGTTTGTGTGTGTGTGTTTGTGTGTGTTTGTGTGTGTGTGTTGTGTGTGTGTGTGTGTTGTGTGTGTGCACGTCCCCATGTGGCAGGTCACTATAGGACAGTAGTGCAGATATTATGAGTCTATGCAGGTTGTTTTCACCAGTGCCAGTAGCTCCGGTTTCACATTTAAGTTGTAGGCGATTTTATATTTTTATATATATATTTCACATTGGGAGAAGAATTTCCAAGACACAAATGCGTTTTTACCAATGCACTGCTGCTTCCACTGTGTGACTGACACCGCCAACTTTAACATGACATTTCCATCGCTCTTATTGCGCGCGCTCTGTTTGGGTTTCAGGCAATGAGTGAAATTACCGAAATAAAAAAATAAAGAAATGGGATGTAGCACAAAATGTGAAAACAGGAAAATACCACCTTGTAATCCACTTATTTCAGCAAAGTAACTGTAATCCAATTACCACTCATTGAAACAGTAACTGTAACAGAATACAGTTACTCATAATTTGTACTCTGATTACATAACGGCGGTACATGTAATCCGTTACTCCCCAACACTGTATATAGATAACGCTTTTCCTCCTTCAAGGTACTCAAAGCTCACTTTTACCAAACTTTTAGAGGAAATGTACCCAATTTTTCATGTAAAATTGTTTTGCTCCTGTACAGATATATAGCATAAGAAGCTCTTGGGGTCAAAATGAATATAATATAAATTATAATTATTAATGTAAATTAATATAAAGCATTTCTTTGGTCCACAAATCAGGAAATGTGTTGTTAGCATGACTGCATTGACTGTGGTGTGTTAGAAGACACCATGTTGTCTATCCTTATCCTTAGTTTAATGTGACATCAACAATTTGCCAGTTGTTGGCCTAGTTTATGATATTTATGTACTTAGTGTGCCTGTCCTTTGTGAAACTAAAACTGCCACGGTGTTTTCTTTGTCTGCACAAACCAACTAAGGGGAAATTATTATTTCTCTATAGCTTCAGAAAATGGTGCCATTATTCAACCCCAAAGATGTGATTATTATCAGTCAAAAAGACTTCAAGTCATGAGATTAATAAAGCCAGATTATGGATCATAAGTTTGAATATTTCACAAACGTTAAATCTTGCACAGAGGTAAACAAGCACCTACTTTCTAAGTTATGACATGACTGAGATGAGGTTATGACATTATTAAACTCTAGAACGTGAATGCAGCCCTATTACTCTTTTATTTTACATGTGAATACTCTTTTAAAGAGAGGATATTTTTATACTTTTTGTAGCTTTTCAGTTAGGACATTGTTCCCTCATCAAAAACATGCCAGAAGAGGTTTTATATGTCATCCATTTGTTTTCCCAAACACCTTTCAAACCCTCCACATGGTTAGCAGAACGATTCTGTCTTAGCCCAAAAGTCTACATCACCAATGTTCCTGAATGACAGTTTTCTAAAAAAAAATATACAAAAGTATGACACCAAATACATTTATACACTACTAATACATTACATCTTCACAAACCTGATATAGTGTGTAGTAGTTTCATTAGCAGAATCCATGTTGATTAGAGGTTTAATGATATTCAAGTCTCACGATACAAAATCGTCACAGTATGAGCGTCATGGTACGATATTTATTGTGATATTGTGGGAAAGCTCACGATATGGTGAGGAGGCTCATGATTAGGGATGTATGCATATATCAAAATCTCTCGATTTTCACAATATAAATCTCATGGTACGATATTTGTTGCGATATTTCGTGGAGGCTAACAAAAGTGTTAATGTGCTACTTTTTCCTCTTAAAATGCCTTGACAAGACTTAATCCAAAGAACTAAGACTCAAAAGTGCTTAGAACTGTTATTTCTTCATGTAGTTTACACTGAAATGGAGCAAAGGATCATGGTCTATGTAGTTCCCTCTGTCTTTTTTAGCTATTTCTGCATCATAACTCTTAATTTAAGCAGAGACTTGTAATTGAATATATTGTAATATTATTGTGAGAACTTTGACGATACGATATCACGATATTTTGGTTATTGTTACATCCATAATGTTGATTGAAGTCGAGTGAGGGAAGTGGGACTCCAGCTCGTCAAATTGAAAATGAAACGTATTAAACATTTTAATACATTGTTTTCAAAACAATAAAAGTTACCGTGGCGATCTAAATATGTTATGTGTGAGCAATACCCCATAGAAGTGTGATACCCCCTTTTTAAATAAAGGAACTTTCAGGTAGCATGTTGTCCGTATTATTGCAGCCCACATCACCTCCTCGACATGAAAGAGGTGGCTTTTCTAACCCTGAATGGCTGCTGCTCCTGGGGAAGTGCACTCAGGAAAGTGCCGTGGATGACCGGTAAACACTGGCAGACAGGAGCCCAGTGATCGTGAACATCTGAGAGCCCTCAATTACGCCCCCCGCAGGTGTCCCCTGAGAAAACCGCCACAGACAGCACCGCCATAGACGGCACGTCCAGAGGCGAGAGCTGAGCAGAACAGCCAACACCTGGCTTCAATCACATTAGCATGCGCACCTCGCCGCCGCTAGCTTTTAGCTGCCGTGTAAAAAATGCAGATTCCAGGAGATGGGCACGACCAATGGGATTAGCCCGCCAGGTCCTCTGTCCACCTACAGTGATTGTCAATGCTACAGTGGGGTGTTTGCTACATGCAGCCGTGAAAAGAGCGTAATAATGGTCCAAATGGTGGGTTGGAGAGCGGATTAGAGTTGTTGTGGTTTTCAGAAAGCAGCGGGAGGAAATATAAAAACACAAACAGAACAGTATGAGAGAGTTTTCAGTGCTACTTGGGAAATGAGCGATAAAGCAGTGGATTTTGTTCTGGGGAAGTGAAGCCGGATTTTAATTAATTTGTTTCAAGGTTGTGTTTTTTGAAAACTGAATTGCTACATTGTGCCTGACCCCCATGTAAAAATTAAGCTATTTCATTGATTGGTACTTTTTCCTTCTTTTATTTTCCAAATATTTTTCCTCTTTTTTATTTGAGTAATAAAAATCCAAAATTAAATTTTACAAACAAAATACACACAAAAAAGCAAATGTTTATTTTTATTTTAATGTATTTTATAATGTATTTTAACCTTCCTATCACATATTTATTGTGTGTTCTACAGATTGTTTTGCTTTCATGGTATAAGGTTGAGTGACATCACTGGGTGAATTAGGTACATAAAAAAAGTTAAAAATGAAATAAAAGGGGACAAATGAAATGTAAGAAGTCAGTTTATGTACACTATCAGTTTTATTCAGGGGAAGGCATCATGGATATATGGAATTATATATAGATAAATCAATAGGCACTTTATTGATGCTGAAGGAAATTTGATTTTCAGTAATAAAACATATTATTATTATTATTATTGTTATTATTATTATTATTATTAATTTCATTTAATCTTTATGTAGACTATAGGTTTTATTTATTTATTTTAGATAGCCCTTAAAGGTGCACTATTTAACATTTTGGCTGTCACCTGCTTGTCATTGCTTTGCCTGGAATGTTCCACGGTATGACATTAAGCAGCTTTACGTTACATTTGTTACATTACAGGTGGTGTAATGTAGCTTGTCCATTTCAGAAGCCGGGTGCCAGCTAACATGTGAAAGTAATGACAGAAGCAAGCAAAGTTTTAAAATGTTTATTGAATATAGGCGAGTTTCAGTTGACGTCATTGTTATTAAAAGCCCGTGTTGCATGCTGGGAAATATTTTGATCGGAGGCAAGAAACACGATAGCGGTCAAACACAGTGCGTAACCTCGCGTACTTATCCCCGATAATGGTACATTTCTGCTGCATAATCGGATGCACAAATAGAGGCACGGAAGAAGGAAAATGTCTTTTTTGTATTCTGAGTGAAAAGAACCGCTAACGGTGAATTAAACGGCTTTCAAACATTCGCAGAGCAAACGTAGAAGATCCTAACAAACCATCGACTCCAACAAGTTCAACAATGCATCGAGACTCTTGGAG